ATGCCCTTTTAATGTTTCATGTTAAACTTCAGAATGTAGATACAGAATACAGTGATGACAATGCATTCTGACACAAGGTAAAACAAGGGAGAGATTTTATTGCAATTGTCATAAATATAAAGGGAAGGGTAAACCCCTTTGAAATCCCTCCTGGCCAGGGGAAAGCTCCTCTCACCTGTAAAGGGTTAAGAAGCTAAAGGTAACCTCGCTGGCACCTGACCAAAATGACCAATGAGGAGACAAGATACTTTCAAAAGCTGGGAGGAGGGAGAGAAACAGAGGGTCTGTGTCTGTCTGTATGCTGCTCTTGCCAGAGACAGAACAGGAATGGAGTCTTAGAACTTTTAGTAAGTAATCTAGCTAGGTATGTGTTAGATTATGATTCCTTTAAATGGCTGAGAAAAGCATTGTGCTGAATAGAATAACTATTTCTGTCTGTGTATCTTTTTTGTAACTTAAGGTTTTGCCTAGAGGGGTTCTCTATGTTTTTGAATCTAATTACCCTGTAAGATATCTACCATCCTGATTTTACAGGGGGGATTTCTTTATTTCTATTTACTTCTATTTTTTATTAAAAGTCTTCTTGTAAAAACTGAATGCTTTTTCATTGTTCTCAGATCCAAGGGTTTGGGTCTGTGGTCACCTATGCAAATTGGTGGGGCTTTTTATCCAACATTTCCCAGGAAAGGGGGGGGTGCAAGTGTTGGGAGGATTGTTCATTGTTCTTAAGATCCAAGGGTCTGGGTCTGTAGTCACCTAGGCAAATTGGTGAGGCTTTTTACCAAACCTTGTCCAGGAAGTGGGGTGCAAGGTTTTGGGAAGTATTTTGGGGGGAAAGACGCGTCCAAACAGCTCTTCCCCAGTAACCAGTATTAGTTTGGTGGTGGTAGCGGCCATTCCAAGGATAACGGGTGTAATATTTTGTACCTTGGGGAAGTTTTGACCTAAGCTGGTAAAGATAAGCTTAGGAGGTTTTTCATGCAGGTCCCCACATCTGTACCCTAGAGTTCAGAGTGGGGGAGGAACCTTGACAGCAATCAACCTCTCCAAGAAGCTCTTCCAGTTCAGTGTATTTTAAATGAGTTAAAAGGGGGTCTCTCTTTCTCCCCAGAGTAGGCAGGTATGATCTCTGGGGATTCCCTTTTGGGCAATCTAGTCTCCAAAGGCAGTTGCATTTAACCCTCCTCAAGTGAACAAAGGTTGCCAGGACAAATGATTAGCAGAGAAAAAAATTAAATCTTTTGCAGAGTACCTCAAAGAAAACTAAACAACCCCTATCATTGTAAAATGCAAGAACGGTCTCTGATATGAATGTATGTGTACAAATGAATGAAACTGTACATTTTTAGTGCACTCCTAAAAGTGAAAAAATATTAACCTGGTACACCATCAAATTATGATTGCTGTATCCAAGAACTTAATCCATGCACATATCTAGGGGAAAATTGCCCTGTCCGATCCACACTGGAAGCATCTATTGCATTTTCTGAGTTTGTTTCATTGGTAAAATTTTCTTGGATATCAAAATGGAAGTCTGAATGCAGAAAAAGTGAAGAATACACATACACAATAGATATCCACAATGCAGATTAGAGAGGAGAATTTTGCCCATAACTATGTGCTAACTCTCCTCATAAAATCTTTCTCCAGATTGGGTATTACATGCAGGCAGCAGCTATTTTTGCAAATGAAATAACCTGTTCCCCTTAAATCATCTGAAGGCACGAAACCTGTTATTATTAGATAGTTACTTTCAAAGTTTAAATCTAGGAAACACTCTTGGTTTATAATCTGAGAGCAAAAAAAACAAGCCGGAAACCACTATTAATTTTGTTTTATCCCTTAACTTAAAAAAAATGAAGGAAAACAGCGTGCTCACCAAGGCTACTCTCTTTGTTGCTAAGTTTTACTCTGGAAAAAAACTTTATGGTAAAGTTATAAATCTTGTAATATGTTAGCTTTGGAATGCAGCTGCTGACACAGCCTTCACTATAGTGCTCACAATGACAGTACATGTGGGTTGTGCTTTTGATTTATACTGGAATAGGGTGCTAATCCAGTTCCCACTGAAGTCAATGGGAGTCTTTCCATTGTCTTCAGTGGGAGCTGGATCAGAGCATAAGTGAGAGGATAATCATGCCCAATGGACTAATTTCAGAGAGAAACCTAAAGGGAATCTAAGATGATGGGAGAAGAAAAGAAAGAAGGTATCCCACCTTCTGATATTTCCTCTATCATCACATAGGCTCACCTCTAGATTTTGAGATACATTTAAGATGTATTTGGGGAGTTAAATTGTGTGATGAATAAATCAGCCCTGGACCTTGCATCTGTTTCTTCAGAAACACTTACTTGAATTTAGCAGACAGAAAACCATTTTACTTTGAAAGCTGGCATCTGAGGATTGTTACCATCCTCAGAAGTGTATGATGACTAGAGAAAAAGGATCAAGTACTGGCAGTTTAGGTCATGAATGAATCACAATTGTCAACACTATCCTTCAGAAAAGGAGTACTTGTGGCACCTTAGAGACTAACCAATTTATTTGAGCATGAGCTTTTGTGAGCTACAGCTCACTTCATCGGATGCATACCGTGGAAACTGCAGCAGATATTATATACACACAGAGATCATGAAACAATACCTCCTCCCACCCCACTGTCCTGCTGGTAATAGCTTATCTAAAGTGATCATCAAGTTGGGCCATTTCCAGCACAAATCCAGGTTTTCTCACCCTCCACCCCCCTACACACAAACTCACTCTCCTGCTGGTAATAGCCCATCCAAAGTGACCACTCTCCCTACAATGTGCATGATAATCAAGGTGGGCCATGTCCAGCACAAATCCAGGCTCTCTCACCCACCCTCTTCCCCCCCCCCCCCCCCGGGACACACACACACACAAACTCACTCTCCTGCTGGCAATAGCTCATCCAAACTGACCACTCTCCAAGTTTAAATCCAAGTTTAACCAGAACGTCTGGGGGGGGGGGGGGGGATAGGAAAAAACAAGAGGAAATAGGCTACCTTGCATAATGACTTAGCCACTCCCAGTCTCTATTTAAGCCTAAATTAATAGTATCCAATTTGCAAATGAATTCCAATTCAGCAGTTTCTCGCTGGAGTCTGGATTTGAAGTTTTTTTTGTTTTAAGATAGCGACCTTCATGTCTGTGATTGTGTGACCAGAGAGATTGAAGTGTTCTCCGACTGGTTTATGAATGTTATAATTCTTGACATCTGATTTGCGTCCATTTATTCTTTTACGTAGAGACTGTCCAGTTTGACCAATGTAAATGGCAGAGGGGCATTGCTGGCACATGATGGCATATATCACATTGGTGGATGTGCAGGTGAACGAGCCTCTGATAGTGTGGCTGATGTTATTAGGTCCTGTGATGGTGTCCCCTGAATAGATATGTGGGCACAGTTGGCAACGGGCTTTGTTGCAAGGATAAGTTCCTGGGTTAGTGGTTCTGTTGTGTGGTATGTGGTTGTTGGTGAGTATTTGCTTCAGGTTGCGGGGCTGTCTGTAGGCAAGGACTGGCCTGTCTCCCAAGATTTGTGAGAGTGTTGGGTCATCCTTCAGGATAGGTTGTAGATCCTTAATAATGCGTTGGAGGGGTTTTAGTTGGGGGCTGAAGGTGACTGCTGGTGGCGTTCTATTATTTTCTTTGTTAGGCCTGTCCTGTAGTAGGTAACTTCTGGGAACTCTTCTGGCTCTATCAATCTGTTTCTTCACTTCTGCAGGTGGGTATTGTAGTTGTAAGAATGCTTGATAGAGATCTTGTAGGTGTTTGTCTCTGTCTGAGGGGTTGGAGCAAATGCGGTTGTATCGCAGAGCTTGGCTGTAGACGATGGATCGTGTGGTGTGGTCAGGGTGAAAGCTGGAGGCATGTAGGTAGGAATAGCGGTCAGTAGGTTTCCGGTATAGGGTGGTGTTTATGTGACCATTGTTTATTAGCACTGTAGTGTCCAGGAAGTGGATCTCTTGTGTGGACTGGACCAGGCTGAGGTTGATGGTGGGATGGAAGTTGTTGAAATCATGGTGGAATTCCTCAAGGGCTTCTTTTCCATGGGTCCAGATGATGAAGATGTCATCAATATAGCGCAAGTAGAGTAGGGGCTTTAGGGGACGAGAGCTGAGGAAGCGTTGTTCTAAATCAGCCATAAAAATGTTGGCATACTGTGGGGCCATGCGGGTACCCATAGCAGTGCCGCTGATCTGAAGGTATTGGAGAGTGGTCAGTTTGGATGAGCTATTGCCAGCAGGAGAGTGAGTGTGTGTGTGTGTGTGTGTGTGTGTCCCGGGGGGGAGAAAGGGGGGTGGGTGAATGAGCCTGGATTTGTGCTGGACATGGCCCACCTTGATTACCATGCACATTGTAGGGAGAGTGGTCACTTTGGATGAGCTATTACCAGCAGGAGAGTGAGTTTGTGTGTGTATGGGGGTGAGAGAACCTGGATTTGTGCAGGAAATGGCCCACCTTGATTATCATGCACATTGTGAAGAGAGTTGTCACTTTGGATGGGCTATTACCAGCAGGAGAGTGAGTTTGTGTGTAGGGGGGTGGAGGGTGAGAAAACCTGGATTTGTGCTGGAAATGGCCCAACTTGATGATCACTTTAGATAAGCTATTACCAGCAGGACAGTGGGGTGGGAGGAGGTATTGTTTCATGATCTCTGTGTGTATATAATATCTGCTGCAGTTTCCACGGTATGCATCCGATGAAGTGAGCTGTAGCTCACAAAAGCTCATGCTCAAATAAATTGGTTAGTCTCTAAGGTGCCACAAGTACTCCTTTTCTTTTTGCGAATACAAACTAACACGGCTGTTACTCTGAAAACTATCCTTCAGGCAACTCAATTTCAAATGCTGAATGCAGGCCAAGACCAAAAAGGGTGTCAAGATAACTGATGCCAGTGTCATTACATGAGGAGAAGTAAGGTAAACAAATGGAAATTTAGCACCAAATAACAGACTCTTTTTGTCATCTTAGGTGTTAGAAATTAAATTGCCTGATCTGAAATCAGACTGTACTCACTGAGGTAATGGTGGGACCAAGAGATACAAGTCAACGGCCAGCTGCTACCTTCCAGTTTGTGCATGCATTGTTTTGCATCAACAATCACCTGTCAATTTAACAACAAAACTAACTTCTTGTTGACTGGTAAATTATCAAAGAAATTCTTTGCTTCATCTCCTTTTTCTTCAGTCAGCTTTTGCCCTCTACATACAGAACAACACAGATGTAGTGGTTATGTAATGATGCCCGGAGGTAAATATGTCGCTCCTCTGCTAATTTCACCACTGTGACAGAATGTACCCATGCCCACCCACTATACACTATTTTTGTACAAAGTATGCCTTGTAAGGTATCATTTGAAAACTCATAATTTGATGGTCATCATTGGCCTGGTAATATGTGTGGGGAAACATTGTTCGTGAAGTTATAAGATTCCACTCTATGGCATTCTTAGCACATATTCCAAACTGGGTTTGGCAAACAGGTCTGTCTCAAACAAAGGAATTTGCAGTCTGCTGAATTTGCACTTTAGCAGTAAACAGAGTCATCAAGCAGGACAGGAAACAAAGGATGCTCCACCACGTAAGGAAAAGCAGCAGGGAACATCCTTCCTTATAGACTCTTTGTCTCCTGAATCTCAGCTGGAAATGTTTTTCAAGAAGGAGACTGACACTATAAAAAGGAGAGACAAACACCCCAAGACATGCTCCTCCCCCGCCCACTGCATTTGTGGCCTCTAAAGGACACAGGAAGCAGCAATGGACTGGAGAAGGGGTCCTGGCCTATGAAATAAGACTTCTGAAAGCATATGATGAGAAATTTAGCTTGAATCTGATATAGTTTGTCAAGTTAGGCTCCAGTACCTTTTTAACTTTATTTTCTTGTAATCATTTTTGACTTCTGACTTTTATGTCTCATCACTTCTATTTACTTAAAATCTAGCTCTTTGTCATTAATAAACTTGTTTTTGGTTTTATCTAATGCAGTGTGTTTAAATTGAAGTGTCTGGGAAACTCCATTTGGAGTGGCAAGTAATATGCATATTATTTCCATTAAAGCAATAACAGACTTTATGTCAGCTTGTATTGTCCAGGAGAGGGCTGGGCAGTACAGGACATACATTTCTGGGGGCGGGGAATCTAAGACGGGGAGTGTGCAGGGGTTACTCTGCAGTATAACTAAGGCTGGTAGGAACCAAGGTGTGGCTGGCTGGCTACAACACACACAGAGACATAGCTGGGAGTGATTTGCATGCTGGAAGCTGTGTGTGAGCAATCCAGCCTGGAGGCTACAGCAGCAAAGCAGTGTAAAGGGCACCGCAGGATAGAGGGCAGGAGTGACACAGCTGCTCATTAGTCTGGATTGTACCTCGGTATGTCACAACCAGAAACTCCCAAACCCTTTAAAACACCTACAGATTTCTCATGAAGAGTACTCCAAGCAGAAAGTATTGGTTACGTTGGAGAGACAAGGTAGGTGAGGTAATACCATTTTAATGGACCAACTTCTGTTGGTGAGAGAGACAAACTTTTGAGCTACACCCAGCTCTTCTTCAGGCTGGGAAAGGTACTAAGGAGTGTCACAGCTAAATACAAGATCGAACAGATAGTTTAGCATAAGCAGTTAGTTAGCGCATATTCTAAGGAACCTTTCAAAGGAAGTAACAACCCTGTAGTTTTAGGACAAAAAGGGTGATTAATGGGTTACAGATTGTTGTGATAAATCCAGTGTTTTTATTAAGACCATGATTTTTAGTGTCCCGCAAAGTTATGACTTTACCAAGCTTCTTCCTTCCCAAAGGAGCTCATCTAAAAGAAGAGTTGGACCTAATTCTTCACCTAGAATTCAGGAAATCTACCACATAAGGCCCTATATCATTACTAAATTACCTAACCCTTCCAAAGCAATTAAATAATTACACATATGGAAATTTCCTTCTATAAAAAGATCTACTTCAGTTTGCTAATTGCATAAATCTCTCTTTGTGTGTGCTCTCAGGCTTTGATTTTAACAGCTTTCCACTAAATTCCCTTCTTTATGACCTGATGAAAGGTATGTTTTTCAATTTTATGAAATGAGCACCCAGTTGCTGTCCAAAAGCTACACTTCTATTACAGCTAGCTAATAACAACATGTGCTTTTGTGGATAGCGTGTCCTGGGAATAATTCCAGGAACACGGAGCCCCGCTCTCACTTTTTTTTTTAAAGCAACTTTATTTACTTTTAAGATTCTCAAAGGAGCACAAATGACAGTTCCATCACTTTGCCTCAGACATTACTTTTCTGCGTGCTGATAAACACCTCATAAAATATTAACTTAGTTTGTCCCTAGGGTAAAATATACTATAGTGATGTGACAGTGATCTGTGTAATCAACCCAAGGTTTCCATTCTGATGCCTGAAAAGGTGCAAGCATGGCAAATCCTAGGCTTTCCCTTATAGGACTGTTAATATTGGCATTAATATTATTCAATTGTTAGTTAATAACAGAAATATTTCCTCCTAAGTCAAAATCTTCTTGTATGGTTTAAAAGAGCAAAGAAGTACATATATTTACCCAGCATAAGCTAGTTAACAGTATTTAAATTATTACTAAAATAATAATAATGAGGTCCAAATTTTTCAACTTAGGTGACTACAGTTAAGCAACTAAATCCTTATTTAGGCATCTAAATAAACCTAGACTGATTTTCACAGGGGCTGAAGATAATGGAAGCTGAGTGTTCTTAGCGCCTTATGAACCTTAGGCCACTTTTGGTGCCTAAAATGGACCCATGTGCCTGTATTTGAAAAATTGGTTACAATCCTTGGCATTGACATAGTTTTTCCATTTTCAAAGCACTTACACACTTTTACTAATTAATTGTCCTATCACCACTGTAGGGTTGGTAAATACATATTTTGGGGGGTTAACTGGTGGAGGAACTGAGACATAGAAATTAATGTGACATCACTCAGGCACAGAAGGAGCTGGTGGCAATGTCTGCACAAAAACTCAGACAGTCTTGGTTGCTAGTCCTGTACCCTGATAACTAGACCAACTTCTTCCTTTGAAAAAGAGAAAAAAGATACTTGTCAAATCTAATGTCTGGGTCCATTCTGATAGAAGACACAGATTTTCTGATTAACTAATATTCTGGGGTTATGTCTTAACTGCATATTAATTAGGCTTTTATCTGGGTATCGCCCCTAACCCTTCTCCTATCCACACACAAAACTCTCTCACCTAAGTTTGGTGGTGCTTTCAACCCAGGCTATCTGGCCCAGTTGCCGCTTTCACTCAGGCTGGTAACCCAGCCACTGTGCAGTGAGAATGCAGGCTAAATCACTTGAGTGATAATCTATTTTATTCTTAAGGTACAAAGCATTTCAGAAAAAAAATTATAAACAATAAAAGAACCTACACACATGCTAATAAGCTTACCAGAATTAACCCCAAGCCTAGCATGGTTTCTTAATCCCCCACCCAAGGGGATTCCTTATAGTTACCAGTTCATCACATCTCCAGCTAAGAACAAACACCCAGTCATAGAATCATAGAATATAAGGGTTGGAAGGGACCCCAGAAGGTCATCTAGTCCAACCCCCTGCTCGAAGCAGGACTAATTCCCAGTTAAATCATCCCAGCCAGGGCTTTGTCAAGCCTGACCTTAAAAACCTCTAAGGAAGGAGATTCTACCACCTCCCTAGGTAACGCATTCCAGTGTTTCACCACCCTCTTAGTGAAAAAGTTTTTCCTAATATCCAATCTAAACCTCCCCCACTGCAGCTTGAGACCATTACTCCTCGTTCTGTCATCTGCTACCATTGAGAACAGTCTAGAGCCATCCTCTTTGGAACCCCCTTTCAGGTAGTTGAAAGCAGCTATCAAATCCCCCCTCATTCTTCTCTTCTGCAGGCTAAACAATCCCAGCTCCCTCAGCCTCTCCTCATAACTCATGTGTTCCAGACCCCTAATCATTTTTGTTGCCCTTCGCTGGACTCTCTCCAATTTATCCACATCCTTCTTGAAGTGTGGGGCCCAAAACTGGACACAGTACTCCAGATGAGGCCTCACCAATGTCGAATAGAGGGGAACGATCACGTCCCTCGATCTGCTCGCTATGCCCCTACTTATATATCCCAAAATGCCATTGGCCTTCTTGGCAACAAGGGCACACTGCTGACTCATATCCAGCTTCTCGTCCACTGTCACCCCTAGGTCCTTTTCCGCAGAACTGCTGCCTAGCCATTCGGTCCCTAGTCTGTAGCTGTGCATTGGGTTCTTCCGTCCTAAGTGCAGGACCCTGCACTTATCCTTATTGAACCTCATCAGATTTCTTTTGGCCCAATCCTCCAATTTGTCTAGGTCCTTCTGTATCCTATCCCTCCCCTCCAGCGTATCTACCACTCCTCCCAGTTTAGTATCATCCGCAAATTTGCTGAGAGTGCAATCCACACCATCCTCCAGATCATTTATGAAGATATTGAACAAAACCGGCCCCAGGACCGACCCTTGGGGCACTCCACTTGGGGCACTCCACTTCCCAAAGGACTGGGGACCTCCATCGACCAGGGCTCCTGTCTATTTGCTGGATCAGGAAGAAGGCTATGAGCCACTTTAAAAACAGGCTATGTATCCAAAACCCCTTTCTTTGTCTGTTGGTCCCTGGAAAATCCAGTTTGAACTAGTCTATGCATATATCCCCGGGGTGACAGGGGGGGGGGGGTAGGTTCAAAGGGTTGATAAAGGAGAAGTACATTAGCATCCCCCTTCCTACTAGAGAAGGTACATACAGTGCCACAATAACACATATGCAATTGCATTACAATACAGTGTAACCCCAAGGTGTTAACCCTAATTCAGTAACCTTAACTCAATTAAGTTTATCTTAATTCCAAAAGGTTTGTTCAGGATAATACAAGATATTGTCAGTATATCACACTGGCCACTCAATTTAACTCTGCAGTGAAGACATACCCTGCAAGTAACATACTTCCTGAATTAGCAGAACACATGCAGAGTTTGAGTCGCCTCTTGCTTACATAATTTTTACATGGATGTAACTCCTTTAAGGGCCCCATTCTGTTGGTTTAAGTCTGGAGTTGGTTCGGGCCATATAAGAACAGTGAAGGGTCACAGTGCATTTCCTCTTAAAATGGATCTCAAAGAGCATTATCAATTTGTGAGCCAAATCATGAGCGCCTTACTCTACTCTTATTCAGTCTTTTCTCTGTTAAATTCCTTGTCTGACTAAATAAAGGACTAAATAAAAACTAGGGGCCAGGAAACTACACGAGATTTCCAAGAGGAGTTTCCTTTATATTGGTGTGGGGGCAAGGTTTAACTTGTCAGAAACAGGAGAGCTGGCTTCCAAATCCTATAAACCTTGGTCAACCAGTGGATGCCATGGCCATCTATGTGGAGATTGTATACCTTCATGTCAGCTCTGGGTCTCGGATGCCTCTCTCCTCCTGCTCCCTGAAAATGGTTCCATTGGAACTATACTGACCCACATTCCTGCTGGCCCTGGTACCCCTAGTGTGGAGGTACATTCTCCTTTTGCTCTGATCTTTGTGATGCCAGCAGGGGACAAAGCCCTACCCAGGGTCATCCACTTCTCCCTCAGCTCACTACTGACTCACCACTTCCCTTTGTAAAAATCAACTGCACACCACTTCCCTTTGTAAAAATCCCTGACACAGTGAGGGCCCTCTGTGAGGTCTGGGTGAAAGGAGAACATTGTCACTGATGCCTCCTTCCAGGCAGGAGGGATTGCATCCACACATGGGAGGTCTTTCTGGATGCAGGTCTTGGGTGGAGGGAGCATCACCTGACCCTGAATCAGGACATCAAGATAAAAACCTCTAGTCATCACTGAAGTTCAGCACCCATTGAGGTAGAACCTAGCATCTTCTGAGCAGCACACATCAGCACAACCCAACGGTCTAGCACAGGAAATGAAGAAAACCATTTCCAGCTAAAGCTGCAGAGGG